CTTCGCCATTAGTACTAGCCGGGGTTAACCTTATCTGGAAGTGGCCATCAATTGTTCAATTGTGCCATTGTAATGCCGAATGCGGCGGGTTTTAGGATGACAAAAATCCTACAATTAACGTTTCGTGTCTTCCGCTATTCAGAATGTATGAATGAAATACAGAAGCTCCAACGAATGATGAGAAGGGTAGGACTAATACAGTTAGTAAGTGTTCTGAAATTAGGAACAATTTAATTAGCCAGGTCTGATTGAGCATGGACGGTTTTCATTATGTTTCGACAATATGTCGAAGCAATCGTGCCAAGAGCCTCGCAGGCCGATGAAGGTTTGATAGAAGAGGCTCTACAAATCCACTTGTTTTGCATTACAAACCTGATTTTGCGTGATGAATCCATCATAAACTGGTGTGTAAACCAAGAGATTATATACACTTACTATCACTGTAGTAGTGGCTGTATCCACACAGAATCACTTTGGTTTGCAACTGTGCTAATCCTGCCGAAAAGTGACGCAGAAGACAGTAAGGTTGTAAGTGTGGCAAATCAGCGTAGGACCTGGTCACTCCATTTGATAGTAAATAAGAGGAGTTCACACGCCGATCGAATAACTGGGGAGAACAAGCGAGCCATTTTAATCAGCTGGTTATCTCCTCATCCTTGAGATCAGAGCTCTATCACTCCTGAACTCGTCATTGTGTCCCCCTCCGTGAAATGACAGCTCCCTCAGAAACCAGAATCTGGTCGCTGGATGAGATTTCACTGTCTACTACACTAAAACTCCTCTATTCAGTCCCGTGGATTCAACGTATTTACATATATGTACTATTCCTTCTCCCTTAACACTAATTAACACTTAGGTTTTAACGAAGACGTCTGCCAACTTTTTAGACGTAGTGACTATGAAATGGACAGCCTGTAAATCCGATTTTATTTTAGTCTCGAAAAGTGATATGTTTTACAGGGATTAGTTCCTAGGTGGCTTCGTGTTTATATTTTCCTAAGTGAAGTAGCCTAATCCGATCTTGTGAAGCGTTAAGGGAAATATCACATTTTAGTTAGACAGAATTCGTGTTTCCTATCATCATAGCCTTTAGATCGGAATTTACAGTGAATCATTTTATTCGCCTTCGTTAATGTAGGCGTAGCACACGTAGTGTGCTCGAATTAGCAAATCGCGAGTAAACCAATCGAGCTGCACAGTTGACGTGGAGTGATAGGCCCCTGATGCCTGAAATCCAATTTTTCTCAACTACCAAAGCCGCTGGTTTGCGAGATGCCAGGTCAGGTTATCTTTGCCCGGGGAGGCCGATGAAGATCAGTGACAGCTGGGCCTTGAACATCGATTTTGTGACAGCGCAGCTCATTCACGGTGCTGTACGTGAAGACCAGGAGGCGCACACATGTAGCCTCTGAACGCAGCAGTGCAGCCCTACGCCAGTGCAGTGGAGAGAGTCTTCCACGGGCGCTAAAAGCTGTAATTTCGCCTTATCTTAATAGGATCGCGCAAAAAGTGTTCATTTCAAACTATTATTTGCGTGAGATATCGACCGGCCAGTGCAGACTGCACACAATATCACATATCTGCTCTTAAGGATCAGTCTACTATATATGCAGCTCTACGCAGATCATTCGGATGTAAATGACCGAGAATGGGTTTTTATGAAGGAAATAACGGGTGACAAAGTAATACCAAATTCGTGTGATGACTAGATAGAGCGCTGTGAACGAGAACATGTGTGTGATGTCCAGAACAGATGAGCCATTTTTTTCTGGATCCAAAGGTTTCGTGGTTGTCGACAGAACATACAGACAACATATCTGAAATGTGTTGTTATTGATTTTTTGTCGCCCTTTATTTGTCAGATTCGATATTTTTTTTCCTTAAATTTTACTTACGGCCACTTGAGATTCACAGATGAAGTGGGCTTGCCACATTTCTGAAAAGGAGAATTATTCGCTGCCCCAATGCACAGAGACCTCTCTTTTAAGAATAGGCTTACCTCTATTTTAAAAATTGTCCTTGAGCGCTTTCTATAATTACCAATCGATACAAATGCTTTGAATAATCTTTTTATTACACGATTTCACTATCCAATGGGCCTGCTATTATTGCAGCACTACTGCGTGAAATCGTGTTCTTGGTATATACAGTATAAGCACAGAATTTTAACTGCTAGATATACAGTTAATTATAAGTAGTTTATTATGAAGATCCTCAGTAAAACCAGAGATGAGTAGTTCTGAGCTCTCAGTTTGCTTCCCTTAACAAAATTTGGAAATAATACCGTTTTAAAATTAATAATGCCAAACCGAATGCTAAACGGATCTATCGTTTTTCCTGTGGGATCTTATTTTACTATCTTGTTTTTTGGAAAATATATTTTATTTTATTGGAAATATACTGCGATTTCATATCACGCAGCTACTTTGTTATAGAGAGATTGCACGGAATTGTAGTTAGAAAATGTATTTAGATTCGGTGGCGTTTTGTTAGATGACTTCTGATTTAAAATTTGGATTTGGATAGGTTATAGAAAAGTTCTGATTAGTTGCTAGTAGGAAAGAATATACCACACCTTAACCGCCACACCCAGACGCATAAAACTAAATAAATACATTAGCTAACAGTGTTGTCTAAAAAGAGAGAAGGATTAGTTGGAGACGCGAGAGATAGCTATCACTGCTAAAGTATTTCGTTCGTCTTCAGTGTTGTAGCACTTTATAGGCAAACTTGCAGGGTCATTCCGAGAAATGTAATTACAGTTCCTTAAAAACGCTTATCAATTCTAATGTTTTTGTTATATATTTGGACTGCCATATAACATTATATACATTTACGTCTCGCTGTTTCTTATTTAACATTCTTAGCATTGTTTTTACATTAAGTTTATTCATAATCGATCCCACATCCAATTTGCATTATCCTACAGGAGCGACAAATTAGTAAAATTTGACAGATGTATTTCCCTCATTAATGTTATTTTTTGTTATATATTAAGCGGTGATTACCACAACTTTTAATACAATGATAATGAGCAGGTATTCGGTTTTCCTGTCTGAAACAGTGAGAATGTTTAGGAGAGAAGACAGACGTACAGTGCATTGACTAGCACACAGGGAATACACTCATTATTTCTTTATGGTGATTCAATTATCAAAGTCAATATTTGTGCCGCCTTTCTCTTTTCAAAAAGTTGCGCCATTGTTATGACTTTCATTATAGGCGTGTTCAAGGAAGGCTGTTGAGGACGCTCTGTTCTACAGCTTGAGCAGGAACAATCGTTTAAATCTTAAAACTACAAAAAGGTTAAGAAAGTCAAATAACCTTTTTATGTTAATCTACAGCAATACATTCATTGTGATACATTACAATCCTTGCAATGTCTCCCATACACAATGGAAGTTGAAAACCTCCATTAAAACAGGAAACATTGATTTTTGAGTGTTTTACCAGTGAAAAATATTTTTTTCAGATGTGGATTATGCCGAATTTTTTATTCCCAATAGTAAAGAGTATGCGGCAGTTTTTCAAGCTGTACAACTTTGGTTTCTCAGCTTTGTTGTGTGACAGCTCGAGTGCATTTTTCAGTACAATGGTGCTCTAGGATTGTCATGATAAAGTTCTTGTCATATTGTTAGGCAAATGTTTGAAGCAAGAGTCTTTAGAAAAGAAGGGAGTGGAAACTACATATGCATTATTACATAGTAGATTATTACAATTTCCTGGCTTTAATTTTTTTCAGTAAGTAGGATAAGCTTGGGGAGCCTAGTCACCGTGGAAACTGCCAGAACAATTCCGTTGAAGTTTGAAGAGGTCAGCTAACAGGGTCAACAGCTCTGGCCTCTCCCTGTGCCAACTTCTGTTGGGTCTGGGGCTGTCGCTGGAGTGTTAGCCCTGGCCTAGCCCTGGGTGGTAGGCCATTCCAACTCTGATATAAATTTTTTGAGTCAGTTTGTGGCCTGGTCTCTCCAGGTGGCCGGTGAAATCGATTTTGACCCACTGACCCTGTCTCGCAGAGGCACGGCTGACGACACAGGCCGGGATTTAGCTGGCTATGACAGATTTGCACTGAGGGCTGTGAGGGGACCCGTGCAAACAGCCCTCAGAGATGGGTGTGTGCTCAGAAGAGGTCATTAAAAGCTTATTAAAAGTTTTCAATAGGGAGGAAAAAGAGTTACTGAATGTGAGAGCAGCAGTGGAGCTGCAGTTTTCAGAATATTAATCACCCCTGAAGCATGTCTTTGGGTTACACAGCATGTAATCTGAGTTGAACGGTGTATTCAAAGATTTATGATCAGAGATGCAAAGTTTTTTTGACAATTTTCCTTTGGGTGTTTTAGATTTTTGTTTTCTTATGTTTGCGATTTTCATTAAGTATCAATCTACTAATACAACATTGTAGTCCATTTAAGTAACTGCAATTATGACAAACAATATTTTGTGTTGTGTGTATGTAGTGTTGTGAGTTCTTATTATGTATTTGATTTTCATTTAGTCTATCAGTCACAAGATTATGCACAGCCTTGATCTTGGGGTGGGGAGGTGTGCAGTCAGTCTAGAATTTTTGTAATCCATTCTTGAAGAACTAAGTACAGTATTGGTTCTTCAGAACCAAGTGTTAAAGAGAACCTCAGCTTTATCAGAATATGTGATCCACACATTGCCCACATGATGGTGGTTTCATCAGCTCTGAGTGTCATACAAAAGCAGGGTCAGACACTGTAAATGGGGTTGCATGAGTGAAGAGCTGAAACCAGAGAAAAAAGAAAAGCAAATGACTGTCCCCAACAGAACAAAACAAGCATATATGAAATATTTCTTAGCCCATATTGTAGCTTTTGTATATATTGTAATTTATAAACCTATCGAGAACAATGTTTATCATTTTCAAGCGGAAGTTTGTTTCTACAGAGACACTATTACTCACAGATTATTGGGTCTGGAAGACAAACCTTTGAGAGCCTGTGGATTCATGTCCATGTGTTTTACTGTGTTTGGAGGTTGCAGGGCCTGAGCTGAACAAGGGAAGCAGAACAAGCAGATGAGCAGATGAGCAGACAAGCAGATGAGCAGACGAGCAGATGAGCTGGGCCTGGCCATGGCTGCAACAGGTACAAGTCCACTTTATGTGCCTGCATGATCTGGGGCTCTGACAGCACTGTGGCTTAATCTGCAACACTGACACGGTTTTCTTTGACATATTTACACATTTCCATTCAGTAGAGCTGCAATGCCTTCATACACAAATAAACATCGGAACTCTTCTTGTAGATCACATCTATTTTTAGCAAATAGATGTATCACTGACAAATTCCAAAAATGCAGCAGATGCTCTGACACAGATGCTTACATTAACATGCATAGATGCACTTAACTCATGGCAAAATTTGGAAGGGGTTTTTGTGAAGAATTCTCCAACATATATTTCAGGTGGAAATATACATTGTGTGTATAATGTCCTTCTCAATGGAGCTTTTCAATTTTTAATAAATACTATGAAGTAAAATTAATATTGAGATGAACATGCTGAACACAAGCCAGCAGTCTGCTGATCAGTGAGGGATGCTGCTGATTGACATGGAGAAGTGATGCTCACAGGTGTAGAGTTTTTTACAGAGCAGGTAAATAAAATAAGTGAAACACATGATATGAGCTATTAACATGTTTTGCAGGGTAAATTAAAATTGAGCAGTGATGAGTTTGAATCCCTGTTATCTAGCATGCAATTGGGATTAATGGGACTGTGGCTATTACTCTACCAAAAAATAACTTCAGAAATGACATGCAGGTGTTTTTCTTTTCTGTAGTATAAGGGTGTGGATGAGACCTTAGCACACAAGTGGCCGTGTGAGGACTTTCAATGATGTGAAGCAGTCTATTCATATGAATCTCCTGTAACTTGCTTAAGCAAGCTTAGCTGCACTTAAAGCAAATAATATAATTTTGGTATTACGCTTCTCTGAATAAGCATCATAATTAAATAACATGGCATAAAGGCCATTAGAAGTCTCAGAAAAGAAGTGTTTCTATCTCGGCCCATTAGACAGGATTGGAAGAAGTGAGCATTAACCACTGCAAAGCACTGAGTATTGATTTAACTAACCATTAGGTCTTTGAGAGAAGGTTGTTTTGCCAAAGATATGCATTTGGGAAAGCAAGTAGTTATAGTCTAGTTTAGTTGTTATTGAATCAACCTGTATAAAGCAAATGCAGTTTTTTTTCAATGGCTGTGAATATTATTCATCCAGGCTTTCAGTGTTTCACAAAACTATCTAACAATATTGCTTTTATGTTACAAATAGATATTCAGACATTTGGACACAGCGACAAGGCAAGGCAAAACATAAAAATGATTTTATATGATAACATTAAAGCATGTCTTTATTAAAACATTAGGTACAGCACAGAAACATCAACATTTTCCCGTAGTCAATACAAACAGTTATGAACCTTACTGAGAAAATGAGCTGTGGAAAATAGCTGTGGAGACCAGAGTGCAGTTATCACATTTTTGTACAGTAAAGCTACAATTCTGAAGTACATAATGAAGAGTGCAGATTACAAATGCGCTTCATTTCTTCTCAAAACATAAAACTTCACACAGGTTTTAAGGTGATTTGCTTTTTACCTGCTTCATTGCATTTGTTTGAAGTGTTTCTTTTACTTGAATTTTAAAAAAGAGAAAATTAAATATCCTCATTTAAATTAAAAAAATATTAATATGATTTGTGCTCAATTTTGTTAATTTGTTGTTTTATTTTAGTATGTAAACATTCCCGTCTCTCCAGCTTCTCTCTTCTTGACTCAGCATCCCTAAACAAACTAGTTACGCGCATGAAACCCACCACATCTATTTTAGATCCCATTCCCACCACTTTATTCCAGTCCTGTTTCTCTTCTCTCTGTCCCATTGTCCTCAATATAATACATGAATCCTTGAGAACCGGCATTGTACCAACGGTCC